AAAAAAATTTTTTTTTCTATTTAAATTAAGATATCTTTAATTAAAAAAAATCTATTATTTTATGAGATTGGAGTATAATTTTTCAAAGAATCATTATTAATAAGTGACTAAAGGAGTCACTTATTGAAAATTTTCTTCGGTCGACACTTATCTGTAACTCAATTGTCAGGCACAAAGACCTGTCATTGACTGAGTCCCACCACCATCCAAAATTTCTAAACCGTATGAATTACGGTGGAATAGATAAGTGAGCTTTGGTGGAAAAACCAAGAAAAAATAAAAAAATGTGCAGCACTTTCTTAGTTGTAATTGACATTTCAATCGCAGCCCCCCCGGTACTGATCCCCTCTGGATTCATTTTGCTTTCAAGTAAAAAAAATGTAACATTTTCTACTGTGTATAGTGAACGAAGCAGCAACATCACAAAGTTTAATTCCACACACAAATTTTCCCATTTATCTGTTCCTTGGTAACTTATAACTTAACAGGAACAAAAGAAGCAAAATCAGAACCAGTACAAACTACATTTGATGCTCATCGTCGGGCCATATAAACATAAATATAGCAGACATACAAGTACTAATCTCGTGTGTGTGCGCGTAGACATAGGATTATATCTTGAAGATATTTACAAGCAAAATTTAAGATTGGGTATGAGAATTTTGATACTGTTTCCACGGCTGGCACTGGAGATTGGAGCAGGGATCTGTCCATGTAACAGAGCAGTCGCCTCCAATTCCATCGCAACACTTACAGACAACTCCAAGGGTAGACAACAGCTTCGAGTAATCTGCTAATTTGATATACATGAAAATCTAAAGATAAGTTTGATGCAAACAGAACAAGAAATTTAAGAACCAGAATTCAAGAGGAGGAAAGAAAGACATATACTTACTTTGTTGAGGAAGGAAGGGAAGGGGCCTTGCTTCTGCACCTACTGAATTGTGGGATGTAGCAGAAAAAACTACAACAAGAAACAGCAGGGGAAGCAGAGAAAGCTTCTGGGTACCCATTCTTTTGTTTGAGAAGAGGGCTTGAGAAGAAGGCAAGAAGCTCCCCTTTAAAAGTTTATGCCGACGAATAAGCAATTAAAAAGTGGTATAAACAAAGATGGTTGATGGGGCCATGATGATGAGTGACGACATTAAGTTAGCGTTGGGTGGCTGTCCCTGGTCTAAATCGGAGAGAGGGTTTCTAGATTAACTGAGAAAAACAAAACACCCAAGTAGTGATTTAATTTTTTATAAATTTTTTAAATTTGCTTTGGAAGGTCTGCCTTTCACAAGGGGTTTGCAAACTGAATGGGACACCTTGACAACTAAAGAAATTAAATATAATTTTACCCCAAAAAAAAAAAGAAATTAAATATAAAAATAAAGGACAAAGTATGGCACACGTTTTCCACTTGATTACGTTTCCAATGGGGACATGAACTGAATTCCACGGAAACTTCCGCCCTCCCTTTTCTTTTAAGTCAGTGGGTAAACGGGTAAAGTGGGGTCAAGTCTACTGTCCCCTGCTTAAGCAAGACGAACTCAATTATTCGACCCGATGGCTCAGCGCGAGGTGAGAAATTACCCACGAGGAAGATCGTTAAAATTGAGATTTTATCTAAAATTATTTTGAATAGGTAAAATCGAAATCGTAAAATTGAATCGATAAAATTGAATCGATAAAATTGAGATTTTATTAAATTTATTAAATAAATAATAAAAATTAAATAAAAAACAAGAGCAATGCTTGGAACACCACTCTCCAGCCAATACTTCCATTTTCATTGGGCCACGTCATGTTGGTTTCCAGAGAGGTCATCAATTTATGGCTAATTAAGCTTGGGTGGCCCAATAAAAAAGCATGTGTTGGCTGGAGAGTGCAGGAGGCGAGTGACCCTAGCAGCTAACATTGCCCAAAAAACAGCTAGTACTGTCCAAAAACCAACACCAATCACGTGTCAACATACCACCCACTAAAAGAGTACCCCTCCATTGTTTCACACTTTCACCTTCTTCGCCTTATCATCTTCTTTCTTTTCTACCATTTTTCTACATTCAAGCTCGCTTCCTGATCCTTATCTACTCCTTTTTGTGGCAACAAATTTGATCATTCTTTGCTTGAGCAGTGAGCAGCAGCAACCAAATCCTACTATTTAAGGCTGGCTCCACATGATTGGGGTCACCAAATAGATTTCGATCCCGCCAGTGCGTGAGATGTGAGCAGTGGCAGTGAACAGCGGCACCGCCGGCACCGTAGCAGTCCAAAATCTTTCCCTCCCCTGCGGCAAATTTCTGGAAATCTCTTCTTCAATTTTTGTGAAAGTGAAATCGAGATTTCAAACGATTTTACGAAAAAATCGCGCTTTTACGGTTTTATCATCCGATTTTATGAAAATCCGATTTTGAAGTCGATTTTACTCGGCATCCATACCTAACATCGTAAAATCTTAAGATTTTACGATATTAAACGCGATTTTGACAACACTGCCATA